CCCCAAAACCCCAAAACCCCAAACAAATGAAATTATGTGTTGAGTAAAGTTAAAGTAAATTCGTTTTCAAATAATTAATCATGATCAAATATGAAATATTTCGGCCTAATATTAGAAATCAGTATTTATAAATCAAGGAGGTAGCTCTGATGCTAGAGTCATGACTCGAAGTAAATATCTTGTCACCATGAACTATAACTCCAGTTACCTTTTTTGTATGTACAGGGTAATCAGATTATAGTATAGGCTGGCCATTGAAAATTTTCCAAAACATAAATCTCGCATCTTTAGTCACACCCATTAAAATTTAGCCTAATTCAAGGCTTACAACCTTAGTTATGATGTTATCAAAACTTTTCAAAGTCCTCTAAGGAGCATTAGATTTAAGAATATTCCAAATTTCAACATCTCCATTTTATAAAGCAACAGCAATGTTTAAATCTCTGAGTTCATGTAGATTGCAGACATTGGATCTTACTTTGATCTAGCCTACGTCCACAATAGTTTCTGTATTATTTCTGTAACTCACTAGTCTAATCGTTTGTGATTTCCTGCTAGCACCTATTATACAGCTTTTAAGTTTAATGTTTTCTTTACTCTCCACCAAAATATCCAGTGGATGCTAGAAAAATTAGACTTCTTCAGCTATTTCCATGTTAGTATTGTCAAAGATTGATAATTCTCCTGTCTAGTAGCCAACACAGAAGAATCTATTGTTAGTGAATTCTAAGTTAATCAAAGACTTAACCATCCTATTAAGTTTTAGAGAATCAACTAATTCAGTAGCATTAGACTTGAATTGGCCTTGAATATTCCAAGCATATAATTTGTCTCTATTCTATCCAAGTATTCCAATCAGTAACCTGTTCGGTATCACGCATGCCAAATAAACAGACTATTTAGTGTCCAATGCATATAATTTAGTCATGGTAATCATATCCCAAATAATAATCTGACAGTCATTTCCAATAGATAGTAGTCTGTTTTAATCCATTTTTAATATTTATTTTACTTAGTTCTGATGTCCATTTGGCAGAGTAATTAATTCCCTAACTTTTTGAAGTTTAAATATAGATCTCTTTGATTTAACATCAACTGTACTCAGTGATATAGCTGTAGAGGCTCTTGTTCCCCCATTTAGACTTTGAATTGACTTATCAGACTCTTGATTTTCCGAATATTGCGAATTTAAATTTTAGTCCAAATAAGTATCAATACCATATTTATAGGCTGAAGATGTCAACCCAGTTTTTTGCAATTTCGTATTATAGCAGCCCATTTACTATTTTAGATTTATTTTTTATTAATTAGAATATCCTGTATTTAATATGAAATATTATATTAAGGCCTGTTGAAATTTATTCTGTCGTTTTTAATTGTATTTTCAAAGTCTCTATAAAAACCTAAATCATTGTCTTGCGGGGTTTTGGGGTTTTGGGGTTTTGGGG